CGCTCGCCGGAATCAGCCCGAAATGTGCATCTAGTGCCGAGCACTGCTGTATATTAAACAAAGACATCTATCGTATAGGTCGCGGCCTAAATGCACGGTGTAACCGTAGCCATTATAGCAAGGACAATTTATGCTCACAAGCACTGTAAGCGCCAAAGCGAACGCAGCCATAGTACAAGGGCCAACCCACTTGAAGCGCTGCAATCGTTTCCGTGGTTTAATACGGATCTTGCGCTTCTCTTGGTATATGTTCTGTGGAGAGTGCAGTAAGTCAAGACTGTCAAGAGTGGCCAAGAGGAACCAGAAGGAACGGGGAACGACTGGAACGAGAAAAGTGGAGAAAAATAGGATTGTGTCAAAGTTGCTCTTTAGCTGTTGCAAGCCGATCGCCGAGTACGGATTATTGTTCGTGTACAGTGGTGAAAAATTCTAGGAAGGTGACAACGCGCATTACATCGGAGTTACAAAATGTTTCGCAGTTCTACGAATTTTGATAAATTATTAGGTAAGCTTCTTTGAAATTTGTGCAAAATGTCGGAGCTTCCTAAGCCACTCATTAATCCACTCGTAGATAAGGCAACAAGTCATTTGCAGTTAGAACCAGACTGGCCTACAATTATGCAGATTTGTGATCTTATACGTCAGAGCGATGTTCAGTAAGCATCACTTTTGTAAAAAGTTATCGTTTATTTTACTTAATTATTAGGATTTTTACTTAGGATATAACACACGTTGTCTATTGTATTCCTTTTAAAGCACCTTACTTTTAAAAATCCATGTTACGGGCCACTTACCAACTCTGATTAACTTAGGCCCAGTTTCACAACTCGCAGTTGATTCTATAACCGAGGTTCAACTTATTCGTTGTCCCTTTCCAATTCTAGAATTGGAAAGAGATGAGAAACAAGTTGAACCTCGGTTAAGAGTTAACCGTGAGTTGTGGAATTGGGCCTTGATCGGCCGATTAGTTCATTGGAATTGACCAATCGCATTTGTCATTTTGTTTGACAACAGATGGCCAATTCCAATGGACTAATCGGTCGATTAAATTAATCAGAGTTGGTAAAAGTAGCCCTAAATATATTATTGCTTCTGTTTCTAAACATTTTATATATTTAGACCAAAAGCTGCACTCACTGCTATAAAGAAGAAGATGATAAACAGTAATCCACATGTAGC